AAGGGGGGGAAAGGGGAAAGGGGGGGAAAGGGGAAAGGGAAGGGGAAGACAAGAGAAACAAATGTGGCAGACTGGGGTAGGGAACAAGGCCCAGTGAGCCAATACCACTTCAAAATACAGAGGATCCTAAATGAAGCTGAAAACTGGAATTTACATATCAAAATAATCTAGCATGCAGCTGTTCCAATTTATCCCACTTAGGACATCTTAAAATTGAGGGATTCTAAAGGAGAATGGTAACCATTTCCTTTACTATTAAGACATCTGGTTAGGCAAAAGCGAAGAGTCAAACACAGGTTGCCACTTGGACTGTGTATGAATCCCCTATCATACGGCTCTGGGAGAGAACTAGGAGGATTTCTAGATAAGAAACAACTCATCAGAGTGCCAGTATCCCCACAGTACTATGGCTTGGTCCCCAGACTAGTAGTAAGGGGACAGTGAAGACCTTTCTTTAACCAGTGTGGGTGTGGCATCATGGGACACCACAGGGTCAGTGGCAGAGTGCCTGCCTACAGAACTCAAGAAATTTTTCCTGAGATCCTGGTTAGTTCTTGTCAGGGAGTTTGTTGTAAGAGTCTGAGCTCAGTCCCACTCTATCTCTGGCTTCCAGATTCCTCTTTAACCATATGATCACTGGTTCCCACCTCTGCAATGTGCCATGAGGTGCCAAAGATAAGATGAGGAGCCCAAATCAGCCTGCACCATGATGTTCAGCTTCCGACACTGTGAACTAAATAAATCTCTTTTCTTCATAGCCTGTCTCAGGTATTTCATTATAGCAATGAAAATGGACTAGTAGAGGCAATAAAGTTCAGAGAGTATACTTTTGTCGTATAGAAATTGTACCTCAAGGGGCTGGGGAGATGGCCATGCAAACATGAGAACCTGAGTTCAGATCGCCATCACCCATGTAAAAAGCCTGGTATCATACACCTGTAACCCCAGTGCTATGGAGGCAGAGATAGAAGGATCCCTGGAGTTAGATGGCAGCCAGTCTTGCCAAATCAGTAAGCCCTGGGTGCAGTAAGAAACCCTGTCTCAAAAATCAGAGAGCAAGAAAGACACTCAGCATTGACCTGTGGCTTTCACATGCACATGCAAACACACACACAAACACGTGCGCACGTACACACACAGAAATTACACCTCAATAAAAAGGAAACCTAAGCCGGGTGTGGTGGTGCACACCATTAGTCGCAGCACTTGGGAGGCAGAAGCAGGTGGATCGCTGTGAGTTCAAGGCCAGCCTGGTCTACATAGTGAGTTCAGGTAAACTGAGACTACAGGAAGACCCTGTCTCAAATTTTTTTAAAATATCTTATTTATTATTTTTATTTTATGTGTACAACTGTTATGCCTGCATGTACGTAAGTGCACCCATGTCGTGCAATGCCCACAGAGGACAGAAGAGGCTGTTGGATCTCCCCTGGAACTAGAGTTACGGACAGTTGTTAGCTGCCATCTGGGTGCTGGGATTCGAACTCTGGTCTTCTTCAAGAATGACCAGTGTTCTTAACCACTGAGCCATCTCTCCAGCCCCAAAGTTGTTTTTTATATTCAAATAAAATATCCTTTGAGTACCTACTGTATACAAGACCCAGTCATCGGTACAGTGGGAGGAGTTAAGTATCCTTGCCCTCCAGGATCTGACAATCCATTGGCTGAGGTAAGACAAAGGCCAACTACAGCACAAGGTTCACAAACACCTAGGTAGCTCACCCTGATCCCATAACCAGACCCTCAGACAGGCATCAAGCCTGGAATGGCTCCTTAAGGTACTATCCATGTCCTCCTCCAATCACTACCCTCCACTGTCATCAGCTACGTGGACACCTTAGGGCCTCAGACCTCCCTCTGCTCACCTCTCTTCAATACTCCTAGCCCAAAGAAAGGCGCCTTTAGAATCTTACCTAATTCTAGAGCCAGAGGCGATTCCAAGTTTGCATTTTTCTGATCAAGTACTCCAATGACAATTACCCCCAAGACAGCACTTAAGACTTGCTCCTCCACACTAACAAAACAGGCAGGGAAAGGAGACCTTTGTGTAGGCCAAAACCACTGTTCCTTCCACAGGAGCCCTCTCTATACTGAGAAACAGCTTTCCATCCCTTTTCTAACTGACCATCTCTCATTCCCTTGCCTTACTCCCCATGGCAGGGCATTCCACACTGTACCTGGAATCAAAGTTAACACCCACCACAGCCCATGGCGGTTAGGGCTTTGTCCAGCTGCCTCTACGCACTGTGGTAGCCCCAGGGGAGTCAACCAGCAATAGACCCTCAATACACATTTGTTGGATGGATAGGGGGAGGAATGAAAAAGGGTCACTTGCACCAGTCTCTGTATCAACATTGACAGCCTTCTTCTGAAAGTTCTTCACACTTATTGAACTCCTTGGACAAGTACCTCTGCAGACTACTTACGGGGGAGTCGCCTAAAGTCCCTAGTACACACACAGGGCAAGCTCAGAAAGACCCCAAGGATAGAATTCTACCAGGAAAGGAGAAGCTCTTGTGGCGCACACCTTTAATCCCAGCACTGGGGAGACAGAGGCCAGCCTGGTCTCCATAGCGAATCCAGGCCAGCTGGGGCTACAGGGAGACCCTGTCAAAAAAAAAAAAAAAAAAAAAAGGAGAGAATTCACATTTCAGGGCTAAAGAGATGGTTCAGCAGTTTAGAGCACTGCCTGCTCTTGCATAGGACCGGGGTTCAGTTCCTAGCACGCACGTGGCAGCTAACAACTGTAACTCTTCCAGGGGAATCCAACGCCTTCTTCTGACCTCCAAGGGCACTGCATGACTTACACACATGTAGGCCATACACTCATACACACAAAATAAAAATGAAAGAAAAAGGGCTGGAAAGATGGCTCAGCGGTTAAGAACACATTCCAAGTTTGCATTTTTCTGATCAAGTACTCCAATGACAATTACCCCCAACCACATGGCAGCTAACAACTGTCCGTAACTCCAGGCCTAGGGGATCCGACAGCCTCTCTCACCTCCACGGGCATTGCATGACACAGGTGCACTTACCTACCTGCAGGCAATACACACATACACATAAAATAAAAGTAATAAACTTAAAAAAAAGAAAGAAAAAAAGAATTCACTCTGTCCCAACACTCCAGAGGCAGACTGTGCGCTTGAGGCCAGCCTCGTCTACACATCAAGTTCCAGGCCAGTCAAGGAGACATACAAAATATAAAAAATCACATTTCCACGGTAACAAGACTGCAAGGTAGAATCAAGAACTACGAGATGAGCCTCTCTCAGCAAGGGATCAAGGACGCGTGGACTGCATGCCAGGGCCACGGCAGTTGGGGGTGGGCGTGGGTTGGGGGTGGAGATGAGGGAGAGGTGAGGGTGCGGAGGGGAGGAGGGGAGAGGGGGATGAGGGAGAGTGGGGGGAGGAGGGAAGGGAGGAAGGAGGTGGGGGAAGGGAGTGCGGAGGGAGAAAGGAGTGTGTGTGGGGGGATGAAGCTGCTGCAGCATTGCACCGCCCCGTGCCTTCGCCGACGCCGGTGGAAACCGAACCGGTCCTCGGTGCCGACCTCTGGGGCGCCGGAGACCGCCGAGTCCACTCCCCGCTGGGGTTTCCGGGACACGGGGTGTCAGGGCGACCGTCACATGCTGCGGGGACTGGGTCGCCGGAGCGGGGCGTGGGGAGCCGCAGGAACCCACCCAGAGCCAGGCTGCCCCGCCGGGCTCCCCACCGCCCAGCGCCCAGCACGTTACCTGCGGGCCCCGGACCAGCCCTCCCGTCAGGGCTACCGCCCTCCGCCATGCGGGCCCAGTCCTCAGCCCCGGCCCCGACCCCGCGGCCCGTCCCCCTTCCTGGGAGACCCCGTCCGTCAGAGCTCGACCCTGTCACTGCGCGACTACTGCGGCGCTTCCGGCAAGTGGGCGCGTCAGGGGCTCGGCTTCCGGCGAGTGCGCATCCTCAGGCGCTTCCGCTTCCGCACTAGGCGCCAGGGTCTCCACTTCCGGCGTGGCACAGAACCTGAGGACTGAGCAGAGGCCAGGTGGCGAAGCCTTCCTAACTCGCGCAGGACTCTGAGAAAACGCGTCTCCCGGGGGCGGAGCCTGACTTGCATACGGGGGACGCTGATTGGTCGGACCTGTCCTCGCCCACGGAAGGGGAGGGGGGGTGCGGATGCCTGGGGACGCTGATTGGTCGGATCTGTCCTCGCCCAAGGAAGGCCAGGGCGGGGCGGGGCGGAACGGAACGTGCCGGGGCTTCCTCGGTCACGGGGTTTCCCGGCGACCTGGACCCAGGCCAGGGCGGGGCGGGGCGGAACGGAACGTGCCGGGGCTTCCTCGGTCACTGGGTTTCCCGGCTGCTGCAGCGGGCTGTAGACGGTGCCTTGAACTCCGCGTACTCGAAAGTGGAGTTAGACGAAGCCGGCAGTGTAAGCGTGTTGAATGAATGGTTGTCCACACCGCTGTCAGAACGTTCTCGAGCAGGAACCCCCTCGGCCCGGTCCATGATGCGCTCTCGAGTTGAGGCAGGGTTCGAGCACCGGGAAGACAAAGGAGGCAGCACTTGAGGGAGCCGGAAGACACTCCTTGGGCTTTCCGGTGGAGGATGATGAGACCGGAAGCCGCAGGACAGTCACCTACTAGGCGGCTGTGACCTGTTGGCATCTTTGTGTTGTCACGGCAGGCCAGACTGGAGGGAGGGAGGGAACCTCCAAGTGGGAGCTGGGGACCCAGAGATGCCCCCGTACTCAGATGCACAGGTCACTTGGGCTGGGCGGAGCTACCTGGAACCGAGTCACAGGCCGTGTGGAGTGTTGCGTGGGTCACTTCCGGCAGGGGTGTTCGGGCGTGATAACCGCTGTCAGCACCACTGGCGTGAGGAACAGGCGACACCGATGACGCTACACGGCAAGGAGCCGGGGGTCGCACGGCCTCCCGGCTCTACTCCACAGCTGCACATCCCCAGCTCCCTCTCTCTTTTTTCATGTATATGAGTGTATTACCTGTATGTGTGTTCGTGCACCTGTGTCGTGCAGTACCCACGGAGGTCAGAAGGGAGCCTCCGATCTCCTGGAACTGGAGTTATAGAAGGTTGGTATCTTCTGTGTGTGTGTTGGGAATCCAACCCAGGTCCTTTGCCAGAGCCAGTGCTTTTGACCCCTGAGACACCTCTCCAGCCTCTCCTCCCCAGCTCTTGAGAGCCTCACAGCACTAAAGCCTAAAACTACCCACATGTGCATGATGAACACACAGCACAATGTGATGTAGGCCATCCATGTAGTGTTGAGCCTTAGAAAAGATTCTGGGGGTTGGAGAGATGGCTTGCCAGTGCTTGTGGCCAGGCTTGCAGAGAACCCAGGTTCAATTCCCAACATCCACATGGTGGCTAACAACCATCTGTAAGTCCAGTTCCAGGGGATCTGAGGCCCCTTCACACCTCCACAGGCATTGTAGGACACAGGTGCACTTATGCAAGCAATACACTCATACACATCAAATTAAAAATAATAAATAAAAAAGGAGATCCTGACCCAGGCTACAGCATGACCACCCTTGAGGACACTGTGTTCAGGGATTTAAGCCAGCCATAGATGACATGATTCCACTCATGGAGTGACTAAAGGAGCCAAGTTCATAGAGAGAGTGGAATAGTGGGTGCAAGGTTGTTGCCAGAGGAGAAGGGAGAAGTTACCTGCTATCCCCACACTTCCTCAGCACCTGGGAGCATTCTCAGTCCTGGGAGCAGTACAGTGGAAGGTCACGTTCTCATTGGCCCACCCTCTTCCATTACCCCAAGGTCAGGGCACCTGGTCCGTGCTGTACCCAGGACCTCAGAACTGCAGCTAGCTGAGTCAGCCCTCTTCCCAAAGACCATCTGTCCTATTCGTGTGATAAACACCAAGACCAGAGCCAACTTGGGGAGGAAAGGATTTATTTGGCTTACACATGCCAAGTACAGTTCATCCTTAACAGAAACCAGGGCAGGAGCTGAAGCACAGACCACAGAGGAACAGTGCTTACTGGCTTGCTCCCCTTTGCTTTTTTATACAATCCAGGACCACCTGCCCAGGGGTGGCAACACCCACATTGGGCCCTCCCACATCACTGAACAGTCAAGAGAATGCCTCACAGACATACCCAAGACCAATCCAATAGAGGAAATTCATCATTTGAGGTTGCTTCTTCCCAGGTGTGAAGCTGACAGCAGAGGCTATCCAGCACACCATCCGAAGTTGTAATCTATCTCTCTTCTCCAAGATCCCACTTCCTCCAGGTCCTCTGAGCCCAAAAGACCTGCTCACAAAAGCGCACCCAGTGAATGCTGGAATTAACCCAGGGCCTGGCATCTGCAATAACATGAATTTGCCATTGCTGCCCCCACCTGACAGACACAGGGGTAGAGTCAACTTGCCCTTCTAAGCTCCATCATAAAATCACCGGATGCCTCATTGCCTGCAACTGCCTGCTTCTTTAAGTGCCCCCAAAGAAAGCATACGGTTCCCCAGATGGGCCCTCTCTGGAACCTAGCCCAGTTAGGGGGTTTATGTGGCAGTCTGAGGCCTACGACATTCCAGTCCTTGATCGGCACCTGTTAGGTTTGGGTTCTCAGGTCTACTCAGATGTAGGAGGGATTTAGCCACAGTGACAAATGTCCAACAATGGGCTCTCTGTTTCTGGCCCAGCAAGGGGCCAGGATACCTCATGCTTGGCAGCTCCTCATCCCACGTGAGCCTTTCCCCGCTGTAGGTAGCCAGAGACCACTCCAGAAACTCAGCCGGGAAATGGGCCCGCAAGCATGAGCCCCACAGCCACACACAGGGCAGAATGCTAACCTCCTGTAGGTGTACTGGCCCCTGATAGCACATACCCTGCAGCGAACCCTGGGACCCAAGCCTAGGCAGTATTGGATATTATAAAAGAGGGTAAGGCAGCAGTCAGGTCACAGGAAGAGGACACAGTTCCCTTTGAATGAGGTTTACTATAAGGGCCTCAAGGCCATGATCAGGCCTAGAGAGGAAGAGCTTTAGACAGAAATAACAGGTGGAGCTAGCTAAGCATGGTGGGGCCTTAAAGGCAAGACGAGGCTTCCTTTTAAAGCCTGGAGAGGAGTTTCATGAACAGTGGAAATGAGAGAGAGAGAGAGCTGTCATGAGGGGCAGGTGGGGGGAGCCAGAAGAACCCCTTCAGAGAACAGCTTTAAAGCCTGGAGAGGAGTTTCATGAACAGTGGAAATGAGAGAGAGAGAGAGAGAGCTGTCATGAGGGGCAGGTGGGGGGAGCCAGAAGAATCCCTTCAGAGAACAGCTGTCACCCCCAGAACAAACCCCTGAGCAGGTTCCCCAAGTACCCAGAACAAAGGAAAAGGGACACGACAGCCTTTTAGGGGTGGTGGGAAGTTTCACACCACGTGTTTTAGTTCAGCAGAGCATACATGACGGCATGGAGGTGCCAGGTACCATAAATTGGCAGCTGTCACGCCACAACACAGACTGCTTCTTAACTCTTGGTTCCAGAGAGCTGAAGGGAGGTGAGGCCTGATTCAGGCTGGGGGATCAGACCTAAAGGTGAAGGCCTGTGTTCTAACACCTGCTCCCAGCAGGCCTTGGCCCCCTTTCCTTTCGTGAAGGATTACCTTTGCAACTCTCCATCCTTGAAGGAAGCATAATCTTCAGGTTCTCCCAGTGAAAAGGATACTCTGGGCTTTGCCCCAGGAACATTTTACCAGCCCCTTCTTGCTCCACATTCACTGGTATTCATGCCTCAGAGCCCAACAGTGGAGCCCTAGGAGGCAGAGTTCACATCCTGCTGGTGAACCCTAAACAGGGCAGGCAACTCCTCCAAGCATCAGTTTCCTCCATTTCTGTGGCTGGTGATAAATACTTCATAGGAGTTGTGCCATCACAAAAGTCCATAGGGTGTGCCATGTAGCAGCAGAGACTCTCAAACTGTGGACAACCCCCAATGGCTGCTCCTTTCACAAACAGTTGGCTAAGGATTATTTTACTCTATTCAAATAGAAATCACGAATAGTCAGGGGCAGCTTCCTCAGCATTACTCCGAGGGCCTGGTGCCAGAAGCTTGCAAGCCAGGTTTACAAACCTCAGCTGCTTGTAGTTCTAGGCTCTGAGAACGAGAGACTTCTAGTTCCAAACTTTCAAAGCCAGAGACTTACAGCTCTAGCATTCAGGTTACAGAAAGTTCTGGGCCTTCAAAGGCCAGACCCTGTAGTCAGCAGCAAGTGTTTCAGCCCCCGAGCTTTCTGTGTTGAGACTCTCCTTGCCACCACCGCCCCCATTTACTAAAAAACCAGGAAACAGAACAGAATTGGCAAAAAAAAAAAAAAACTGGGAAGAGGAAATTTCTCAGCTTCTGTCAGCCCTTGCCTATAGTACTATGACAACCAGGAAAGATGACCAGAAGCCAGGAAATACGTGTATCTGCAGACAGCTTGAGCTCCAAGAGCAGAATTCTGAGATTCCGCTCTTCTGAGACACATCAGCAGTTAGTTCTTCTGGTGCTAGGGCTTCAGACTAGCCTCAGGCCCTGCACACTGTTGCCTCAGTCAATTTACACTCTGTGCATCCCCTTCCCCAGGCTAGCCTAGTCCTCTTTATAGTTCAGAGTAGCCTCCAGTTCAAGGCAATCTTCCTACCTCCGGCTCTCAAGTGCTGAGATTCCAGGTGTGTCCTGCCCCACGCCCATCCTAACTCCTTCAGGTCTCCAATGCACACCGGCTCTGAGTCCTGGGCCACCCTGGAACTCATCCAGTGAGCAGAGCTTGTTGTCGTGGCTCCGAGGCATCTCGCTCCTGCAGTCTTGCATTGTTTGTGGTCACCTCTGCAATCTGCACTCCTGGCCACTGTCTGGAGCTCTTCAGCTACCTCCAAGCTGCTGAGTGGCCAGGCAGCTCCCAGCCTCAGGACTCTCCTGTTGCTTTCTAGCTGCTGCTCTGGGCTCCAGGGACTGGGCTGTTCCTGCTGCTACCAGCTCAGCTGGCTGGCTCCATTGGTGATTCTTTTAAGCCATGAGTAGACAGTAAAAGACCATCCAGGAAAAGCCTTTGTTGGGGCCCAGTATTTCAGCAAAG